TAACGCTAAAAAACAGAGCGGAGAAACAGAGAAAGTGAGAAAGAAGAATGATTTAAGATCATTGATGGAGGAAGAGAACATGAAGAAAAATCTTGTGGTGATGAATTACGACACAAACTATTACAGACTCTCTGCAGATATCGCCAAGGAAACTTGGGTTGTTGATGGAATTCAAGATCATTTGTTTCGAAGTCGAAGCTGGAAGAAATGATCTTGTTCTTGGAAGAAATAAAATCCTCTTTGTAAAGTTAATACATGTACTTGTGAATTTATAAGTAAGCATTCATGTGAATAAGTTTGAGATTGGTTTTACATCAATCGAATGTTTCGCTCTCTTTACTTGTCTACTGTTTGCTCTGTTTCTAATTTACAAGTATGAAAAAAAAGGAAAACAAAAAGAATGTTTTGGTTTTGCGTCTTTGTGTGACTTTTGTGTCTAACCATAAAACCGAATGTATAGAGAAAGTGAAGAGAGACAAGAACTAGAAGGATAGGCCTTACCAAGACGTTAAGATTCTTAATGTCACTGTTCTTAAATCTTAGCATTTTTTGCTGGTTCTTGTCTCAAAGTTCACGTGATAGTGATCGGTTTCTTGCGATGAATCAGAACTTCATGTGATGTGTTAGGTGCTGTTCGTTTGGTGTGCCAGCAAGTGTTTCTGGATACAAATTCTAGGTATTGTTCGTTTAATGACAATTAAGCACATAAACTGATTACTATATCTAGATACACATTTAATACTCATCTGAAAAAACCAGAAATTTTGGATACGTTTAATATCAGAGTCTGGATGCACCAATACTCATCCAAAGTTGTAAAAGTCTAAAATAACCCATAAATTCAATAACTACAATATACCCTACCCCTATATTATATCGACACAAAACCAAGTTCTCAAATCATAAACCCTAAATTCTTGATTGGATTCGACCTAGAATCTCTGTCTTACGATATCTTCGATCGATTCTCAGAGGAAGAATCTCGATTTATCGACGAAGAATCTTCAAATTTGACGAAAACGGAATCTAGACTCGAAAATATCACCATCTTCTTCCTCGGCAGCTAAAGGTAATATCTCTTTTTAGTCTTCTTCTACACTTCACCATCTTCCATATATTTGAAGGATTTTCATGTTTATATCGTTAAATAGTTTTGTGTAGAGGTTTGTTCTGGGTTTTCAAATTTTTNATTATGCATTCTTTGTGTGTGTAGAGTTTTGTTCTGGGTTTTGTTGGTGTGTGTGTAGAGGTTTGTTCTGGGTTTTGTTGGTCTGTGTATAGAGATTTGTTATGGGTTTTCAAAATTTTGATTATACACTCTTTATGTGTGTAGAGGTTTGTTCTNGGTTTTGTTGATGTGTGTNGAAGTTTGTTCTTGTGAGGATAATGGTTAATCAAGTCAATTAGCANAGAGATTCTTATTGTTCCTAAAGAAGAGACAATCGTAAATTAGCATAAAAGTAAGAGAAGACAAGAGAATGAGATAGTTGTGTCAAAGTTCATTGTTTTTTGCTTCCTTTATTTCCATGTACAGTATTACCAACTTCCATTATTGTTTCACCTCTAAAGTATGTACGTTTGGAATAATAGATTTGCCTGTTTGGCTTTATATTTTGTTTCTACACTATGAATATATGCGGAGTATTATAATAGGTTCCTTATACTTATGTTATTCTTGGTGAGTTATATTTGGCTTTATAACTCTCTGTCTGTTTTGAACTTGTTCATAGTAATTTTTGTTAGATAAATCAGAATGCTGATTGACTTAAACTTGACTATTTGTTTGCTTTGTTGCTTTTAGGTTCTTTTGGCTGAACAATCAAAAGTGAGAACACAATGACATCCGTACCAGGTAGTGATGTGAGTATCTTACACTCTAATTTGTATTATAATGAATGGTTTTAGTTCGAGTATCTTGTTAATTTTATTTAGAACAAT